TATTTATTGTGTTAATTTATTGATTCTTTTTCTGCTCTACTTGTGTTGCTCAGCTTTTTGTTCTGCCGATCCGAGTCCCTCGCGCACTAGCCCTATGCGCGACCAGCTTGCAACATGCTGCAATTTGCTGCAAAATGCTGTAACATGCTGCAATTTGCTGCAATTTGCTGCAACATGCTGCAAAATGCTGCAATTTGCAGCAACATACTGTTCGAGCTTATTGCTCGTACTATGTAGCAGCTTTCGTCAAACGTTCCTCCTGTCTCGACAGTAGGTGCGCATATCTGACAACTACTTAGACATGTTAAAGAAATATTAGATATAACTTGCACTCTAAGCTTTTAAATAAAATATAATACTTGTTAAGTAATATACTACAGTTATATATAAAGTCTTTTAAAAGATAATATATATAACTAACATACTAGATAACCTTTATAAGCTAATTCTATAGCTAACTTATAAAAGCTTAATAAGAATAAAAAGTAAGTAATTATTAAGCATATATGTAAGGACAAAGCTCTATACTACGGCGCTAATACAACTAAAAAGGTGCGAATAATCAACTAACAGTTGATCCTGCGTATGTAACAAGGTAGGCACGGTCAACCACGTGGTCTTCTCTCGCTTATAGAGGTTTAGGCTAGACTAGAGACAACTGCTAGTGCTAGTGCTAGTGCTAGTGCTAGCCCTAGCATTATCTATATATATATTATACTATGCGAGAATACTTAGCTTAAGTATTCTTGTGCGTACCTTTTAGTACAATAGGGAAAGTCGTATAGTATTAGCTTGGCAGACAGGGCGTCTACCTTATTACAGTATGTTTATTAAGTGTTATCTAAAGCTTAAAGTAAAGTTTAAGTGTAAGTATAATTAGTAAATATCTAGCTTATTATAAAGTCTATTTTTTATTAAAGTTACGTAACGGCACAGGCAAGATGTAAGGACGGAGCTCTGTACCACTACGCCAATACAACCAAAAAGGTGCGAATAATCAACCAACGTTAATTATTGCGTACAGAATAGTATATATACCCGTCGCACGTAAGCACCATCTCGGCCTTACACGTAAGCGCCATCCTGGCCTTACACAAGACAACAGGTTCGAATGCGGTATGAATCTACTTAGAGGTATATAGGAGTGCGTGGGGACTTAGAAACCTGGGAATTCCATTAACACCTATAGGCCTTGTACAAAGGATATCAGAAAACCACTAAGCTAGCTAAGGGGAGAGGTGCGACTAAATACTTAGAGATAGGGGTAGCGCAGGGGGCAGGGCAGAGCCGGAGCAGATACAAGGAACCTTTGGATATAAGGTCCGCTAGGTAACTTTGAATAGAACAATTCAAGCGAATTGTTACAGTTAACTGTGCCTACCTTGTTACACAAAAGTAAGCAACTTAGGCGTGTAAGTAACTCGCCTGTAGGGTACATTGTTTTATAGGAAATTATATTTTTTATGTTTACTTCTATGTAGTTCTTTCTTTAGCTATTTAAGCTATATTTATTATAAATTTTTTAAACTACTTATTTTTTTATTATTCTAATATTAATCTAGTTTAAGAATATATCTAATTCTATTCTAAGGTGTGTGTATTCTAATGCGCTGTTTAGCGTAATGTAGAGTAATAAGTTTATTACTTATTTCTTTTCTTTTATTAAGTCTAGTCTTTAGCTTAATATGTTTATAGCTTTATTTAAAGGTTTCTTATAATAGGGTTTAAAGTTAAACTAAGCTAACACCTTTACTTATCTAGTCTACCTTAAGTTTAACTACTTTATTATAGTAAACCTAGTTAAGTTCTAGTAATTAGAGTAGATTATTATAGAGAACTTCACCTGATAGTTGTAAGGCCGGGATGGTCCTTACGCGCGACGGGTAAATATACTATTCTGTACGCAGAATCAACTGTTGGTTGATTATTCGCACCTTTTGGTTGTATTGGCGCAGTGGTACAGTGCTCTGTCCTTACAATAGTTTTGTAGAGCCTGCATTAAAGCACTCGGAATGGCTATCAAGGACCCCCCAGATAAGCTAGTTTGCTAGGGTTTTAATCTAATGGACAGCGAGGGCTACTATCAATTAGAAGGACTCACCATCACCCTCACGCAGGGTCAGGTGAACCAGCGTCACGTGCGACACCATTCGACGCCGAGGTAGGATGCCAACAACATCCGGATTGGAATCCAATGGGAAACTGGCGCCTTTCATCTGAGAATTTCGTAGGCCAAGCTGATGAAGGTGGTCTCTTGGTTCATGGTATTTGTTGCTGAAGTCAGGGGAAGATCTGAGGAGGGTATCAAGAGTGCAGACCGAGCTTTGTAGCTCTCGGCACTCTCCTCACTCTCCCCACGCGGCAAATGAAATAACCGCTGCTCCCTCAGAAGCAGATGAGAAGAAAATCGAAATTTATCTTTGCGAAAATACGTGCAGATGAAAATCTCTCATTTCACGTCCGCCTAACATCCCTGTGACATTGGCGAGGAAAGAGACCATGATCGAAACTACCAGAAAGCAGACTCGGGTCGAAGCACTATGGAGAACACTATTGGCAGACACATTCCTCCAGTACCATCCGGCACTCCTGGACGTTGGGTTTGTCTTTGCTACATGGCTTTCGATGGAATTAAAGTTTGCAAGTTTTAATAGGGAACTGATCCTGGCCGAAACAACAACGAGGGAATAGGGAATCCATGAACGGATAGGATTTAAGTTTATTGCAAAGGATTTTGAAGATATCTTGGATCGACGAGAGGTAGATAAGCCCGGTGAAGGTGAATGAAGCCTCAACAACCGTGGCAGCCTTCAGCGCTCTTCTCCCAGTGAAAGTGGTGTTGCAGAGGCTACCTTATTGGATCCGCCATCTCTTACGTTCATACTGTTCGAGCTGGGGGTGTGTCGCACGTACAATTATCCGCCTATATATATTCTTCTGCTGTGCTTGGTAGAAGGTTGACCTTTTGCCTTTGCAACAAGTGGTTTTATAGCTCATATAACTTGCTTTGGGACCTTGTGGAGCACATAGCTAGGACAAAGACTCATCAGATGATGACAATGTTGGACGATACGCTGGTGTTCTCGGGAGGATCGATTGGCTCGTCAATGAAGAGCAGGGTACCTCTTTGTCTTATTAGAGGATATTCAGGACGCAAGCAGAAAGGCCAGGGAAGAATCCGGGCTTGGCTGGGTGGCATATCACTCTCCGGATGGTATTCGATACGTCCCAGAGTCTGGTCAACTTCAGCATATGCTGGACTGGATGGCATAAATGAGGTTCTGGTAAAGGAGTTTGCCAACAGATATCAACTCGTCAATTATTCCCTGAGTTTCCAGAACGGCGTGCGACTAGTTAGGAAATGGTCCGATTTCTGCTCAGAAGGATGGCAAAGTTTGGATCCTTTTCAGCGCGCCAACACCTTTGGTGCTCCGGCTGGCAGGAGACGGTCAGTACCGGGTAATTGGGGAAGCGTATGTCCAATGAATAATGCACAGCGAAGTGGTCGAGGCAATGTTGAAAGACGACCCTGAACGGGAAGCTTGGGCCATTGTGCACACTCGACCATTCTCATGTGACTTGCCAATCACCTCCTCTTGAGCGCGCTGCAGTGACCTCACTTCACCGATATCGTGATTACGTTGTTCGTATATTCTATTTTGCAGCTATCGTTATATTATTTCCGAGGGAACGGTTGATGCGGTCGTTGGGGCGGTTGGACTCCCAGCCTGGTTTGCATGCAATCACTGGAGAGGCACCTGCTCGTAGCCATCTCAGGGTTGTCCACCCTAGGGGGGAGGGGTTTTGTAGAGGACAGGGTTAGACTGATGCCGTGGCTGTTAGAAACAAACTCGCTAGTATATTGATACTCTAGATTTCCTCCAACCACACTGGACTAACCTGAATTGCAGTCTGAGTCTTCGTGCCCATTTCCTGTTCCAGCGATCCTTCTAGTTTTAACATGGCCTGGTGAGCGTTTGACGCAAAGATGTTGGAGGGTTTCGCAAGAGCGAAGAACAGCTTGACCATGTATCAAGGCAAATCGGCTTTGATATAAACGTAATGCTTTGTGCCTCGACAACCAATTATATGCTCGAGAACCAGTTCTTTTGAGGTCCCTTGAGGAGCCTTGTGAGCCGAAATGTCATGACGAGATATTGTGTTAACGGGTTCCTTGTCGCAAACAATTGGAACGCTGTAAGATGTCGACACAAAACTTTCGTGCACCCCGTAGACATTTCGTTGCAAATGTATTAGAAGGCTGAGACTACTACCAACCCCATACGCATGGAGCAATGTTATGGGGTACCACTGATTTCCGCCCGAATTGAAGATCGTTTGTCCGGCGGGTTCCGAAATGAAGTTTTCAGAACCGTGTACTCAAGGAGGTCAAATGGGAATTTTGAGATTTTTCGTCGTGTCGTATCCTTCTTACTACATTTGGCTGACATCGAAGGACTCACGCATGAATTCTGGTGGTTGTATTGGTAGTTGGTCACAGTGCTAGCGCGAGGGGTATCCGGCATCAAGATTTGTCCGAGTAGCTGCATCTTGAGTAGGGCCTAGGCCAATCTCTTTGTTGGGTAGTTAGATGTCTGATAGCCGCGATTTGACTCAAGAGAAGATATACTGATGTTGCAGGGCAAGGACTGCAAACTTGAGGTACCTCGGTACCAGGATATTGCTCATCACGTGCCTCCCTCTTCGGCGGATTAGGAAGTGGCACTGCTGGTTCTGAATGTCTCAGCTGCTAGTAAACGAATTCATTGTCATTAGAGAGGGTGCTTGCTGCCTCTATATGCTACCTACGTGTTGATCATAAAGGGTATCTGTGTTTGCGATTGAAATACGAAATTGATCTTATCAGACCAGAACTTTGGAACTATATTCAGTCTTTAGCCCAAATTCCAAACTCATCCTGGATCTCCACGATCCTCAGACCCCGCTGGTCTGCTATCAACCCCATCAACCTCTGACCTATGTCTTTTGTCTCGTTGTACTCATGGAGAAGCTTGATGCTTCTTGACGATCTTGTTCGCGGCTGCTATAACCTCCGTATCGGTGGTTTCGACTGTGGAAGGTGAATATGTTGTGGAGGATGCGTTGATTTTCGCGATGGCGTCCTGTATGTTTGGGAGGGCAGCCAGAGATGCGATGAGGGTAGCTCGTTGGGCACGGAGCTCCTCGAGAGTGCTCTCTTGGGAGGATTTTGAAGGGCTTGAGGATTTGAGTGGAAGGTCTGGCTTGGGTGGAGTTGATGACTCCGATTGGGGCTGAGGTTCTGGTGACTTGAAGTTTGGAGGGCTATTCTGCATTTGAGGGCCACTTCGTTGCGGTAGAGAGCTTGGGTTGGCTGCACTATCAGTCCCGCGGGTCGATGTGTCGCTGGTAGGGCTACGCTGCTGTGAACCCTGTGCTTTTTTCGTCTCAGTCGTGGGTTCAGTGCCCCAATTGTCGTCGCTGCACAAATTGTGTTCTTTGGGGGGGGGGGGGGGCGCATCCAACGCAGGTATCGTCGATTCATTCAAACCGGCTTTATCTCCCCGTGAAGGATCCCCGCTAGGGTCAATCTACTAGAGAGTCAGCTTCAAGGGACGTAAAAGTCAGAACGGACATACCTGGAGTTGAGGAGTCTTCCTTCCCTCGCGGCCAGCGTCTACCATCTCAACATCTTTGAGCAGCCGTCCATCTACGACGTGTATTTTGTCCATCGACGCTCCAGCCGTCTCCTTCACCCCTCTATCAGGCTCTTGATGTGATTGGCGAAAACTTAATTCCCCACCAGTCACTTTTGCTGCATCGGCAGGCAGGGTAGAATGCCCCGAGGCCGGATATCCTGTTCGGATACTGCCCTTTTCTCCTCGAGGGATGCCGGATCCTTCAAAAGGGATACTGTATCCTCAATATCGGGCGAAATAGTCTGCCGCTTGGTACTTTTGTCTTCCGCGGCAGGATTCGACTTTTGTACGGTGAGAATTGGCTTGTCCACGGAGATCACACAACCGTTTGTTGCTCTTCCATCGTTGTCACCTGGTTGTGAATTTGGGTGCAAGAATTCCATATCTTCTGCATTTGCAGCTCGCTCCGACACTTTCTGTTCCGAGTTGCGAACAGGTGGATCTAGAATCTCAATTCATTCCGTAACACTACATTTAGCCTGCATAACTTCCAACTCTTGAACAGTCTCTATGTTGCCGCGATTGGCTTCAGGACGCTATAAGCGAGGTTCGTTAGACTGCATGTCAGCTGAGTGGACAGGATTGGATTTATCGACATTCGCGAAAACGTTTGCTTGAGCTTGAGTCAAGCCTTCAACTTGTTTTAAGGAGATGTTTGAAACATCGTCACTGAAAGCTTGCTCGGTGCCAGCCCCTGCTTTGAGCGCGTCTTGGGCTGCATGGAGAGCATCCTCTTTAGCGGGAGAAAACCTGTCAGCAGAGATTGAGGTTACAACCGGTGAGGATGCCATAAACTCGTCTTTTGAGTCAGGAATCTCCGTGACGCCCGCCATTTCAAGGGTTTTGGTGTTGGAACCTGTGAAGACGCAGTCGTCATCCTTCGGTGGACCTCTCTCAGAGTACCAGCCGTCAAGAACTCCGCGCCTTCCGTTCACGTAAGCGGCAATAACGATGCATGAATGTTGGGCCTTCACTGAAACAACCTGCGCCTCCTATCCACTTGACGCTTTTGTTCCTCGGTCACACACGACTCTCTGGATGCTTTTCACCACCTAGAACCCTCCACGTCGGAGTCACCATCGTTCTGTCGTCACCAGTTTTGACAAACTGACGCCCCATCGGTCTTTGACATCCTCGATTTAAGGAGGGTAAATCGCAGCGTAAGGCACATTTCGCCCTATGTTAGATTTCTCTGGCATAGTCGTGCTCAGTTGTCTGCAGAAACTCAGACGCGTAAGGCTTCATTGCATCTACGAAGTGACTGATCTAAGCGTGATCACTGAGCCTACAAAATGAGAGAATTTAGGCCTTGGCAAACACCTTACAGGAGGATCTCAAATAAGAATTAAATGGTTGATTGAGGGGGTGCATACTGCTGTCAGAGTGGAAAAGTCGCGTTTGCTAAGTACAGATAACGAAAGGATAGCAGCGAGTATGAAATGGCCTTAGGCATGTGTATAGAATTTGGGCCGACCTTCGGATGGACCGCAATTCTCGTCTTGTTTGTTTCACGTATCTAGTTGATAACGATTACGGAATTTTGCAGTGAAACTATACCAAACCTCACTCTGAAAAGACAAGCGGGGCGTACTTTGCAACCTTTGATAATCCACTCTAGATGACGATAGTGGTCTTTTCCACCGCACTGACTTCTCAGGGTTGGGGTGTGTTGCTCTAAAATAGATTCATCCCTACTGGTAACTCTTCAACACTGTGGCACCCTTTTGTTAAAGTAACAGGGTCACCACCATGGGGTCCGAGAACTTGAAACCACTTCCACTTCCAGGAAAAATCACAGCCGAAGAGATAGACACATCCACCGATTGGTCCATCTCATGAAAGAGTTAACTCCCCCGATAACTTCGAAGAGCGACTTAAGAAGAAGTAATCTGATCGCCACGATGATAACTAAGAACTTTAATCCGCTTTAATTATACCTAGGCACCTCCTCGACCAAAACCGCCAATCTTTTCTCGATCTGCCTGGAGAGGTGCAAACATGGTGTACTAGCTTGCGTGGTCTATCGAAGGCCGGAACTCCTGAGTTATATACGATCGGGAAGCAAAGAGGCTGTTTGCAGTGTCAGATCTCCAAGGTCTAGTCACGCGATGTTGTACTTCCACCCCAGAACCACTGCCTGCTACACTGCCTGTTTTACCTGCGGCATAGTCACTTGTTGCCTAGCCTACTACTTTGCATACAGACTCTTAGGTTCCATCCTTTAGCAATCAACCCAGTTCCTTATCTCTGTGCCTACCAAAAGCTCCCCAAAAAGCTTCCCAGAAGTAGATCATCTGGGAGCTGGCCAGTGACACCCCACACATTCTTTCTGATACCGTCAAGGAGTATTAAAACTCTGAATCGAACTGTGTGCACGCACTTGATATCCTCAGCCCCCTGAATCACATCACCCAGCAAGACGCCCATTCATTTTCTACGCTAAAGCACACTCCATGGCCAACTACCAGAACAAACCGCTAGGTGTGCACTTCCTCGGGATGGTCAAGAAGGATGACCCAGCTAGTTTGACATCCATGAAGATTCAGGACCTGAACCTTGGCTTTCTATCCTCTTCGATTGCAAGAACCTGAGATACGTGGAGATGTGCAGCCTCTCCTGGTTCAACGACAAATCACATTCCCACTCCTACATGCGGAATCGGGGAAAGGTCTCTGCTAATTAGATCCCAGTTTTCAATACGTCTAAGCGTATTGCTACTCGCCTTGTTGGGATGTGTAATTAAATTTCTAGATGTTAGAATTGAGATGAATCTCGACTTTGATATGCGGTGGAACAGTCTAGGTAGGGAGTATGAAGAGGATAATGTGATGATTGTAGCTAGGTATGTGGATACAGGTAATAGAATAAGTACGACTGTTGTGGGGGTGATTGAGATCGAGGAGCAAGGGAAGACGAGCCTGGTTTGGAGGGATACTGAAGACACGGGGGTGGTGACCATGCGGAGACGGTAGCCGAAGAGTGGTTGGGTGAGGAAGGAGTGGGAAAGGATTTGGATTGCAATGGAGAGGAGAATACGGTGGATAACTAGATACTCATTTAGGCTGATACGAGAGGTATAATATCTAGAATCTTGACTATTTAGACATGATTTTACAATATAAACGAGATATAGAGTGCTATCTGATAGTACTGCGTTTGATCTGTATACAACACGTGACCAATGCCGCAATTGTTGCTGGAAGTCCTATTCCAATTCCGACGCCAAGCGCGATTTTGTCCGACGAGCTCAGCCCCCCTCCCTGTTTCTTCTCGGCTGTAAGAGTTGGTGCGGCGGTGACTGTGGACTGCAGTGTAACTATTCTCCCCGGGGTGCTCGTTATGGGCGGTAGGGATATCGTCATCCAAGTCGTGATTAAGCCTGATGAAACCCGTCAGTCGATCAAGTCGGAAAGGGGGCTTAGCGCTCCTCCTGTATGGAGTACTTGCCATTCAACACCCTATTAACCTAACAAGAACAACGAAAGCCCCGTACACCAAATAATTACACTTACTTGATGATTGGCTTCCGCTGGCTGCTGTTACTGTGGCAACCGAAATGACAGTAGTAACACTTCCGCCGCCCGGTACCGTAGGCTCTGCAGCATTTGTAGCTGGGAAACTCATAGCCTTGGCGCAATATCCATTATATACACTAATGGCGCTGCTCACATCTATCGTGGGCGACACAACGTCGGTGCAGGCGGTCGATATGCAGGCGGACAGTATTTTCGATGCACGAGGGGGTGCGTCAGCCCGACAGTAGCATTCATTCACCCAGGGTGATGAGCATCCAAGTTGGACAGATAGATCTCCGTTCGGAGGGGACCCCCAGAGACAAGATTTAATACAGCCGCGTTGCTCGTTGTAGGCCGTTTGTTGGACAATCGAATTCGATTGCGCAGAAAGAACGCTTGCGATATGCCAGCAGAGGGGGATAAGGTGCAAAATTAAACTGAAGAATAGCCTCATGCTTAGGGGTTGACGAGGTTAAAAATCAATGGACAGGCACGACTGAGGTGAATGAGTTTATGTTCTGAGGGAAAGTGGAAGGCTGGGACTGCAGGCAGCCTCAGTGCGCCACGAGGATGCCTTGTACTGACCTGGTGTCCAAGAAGGGTTGTTGGCTTTTTAGCAAGGCTAATATTGCCGTGATCTACCTAGCTTACCACTCGCCACGCAACTGACTCACAGCTATATGCCCTCTATGCACCAGCCTTACCACGTGATGACTTGTTTCTCCAGCCAAGTACTTCCTTACAGCAAGCCATGCATTCATGAGACTTGCGAGAAGGTACTTATGATTAAACAAGGGGTGTGGAATCCACTTGCATTATCTATTTGACATGGAATCTTCATTCTACCTTGGTAATGGAGCCTTGTAGTGTTGCAACATCGACGACATGCGGAGAACATAGCCCCGGAAGAAAAAGAGGCAGTGGAAATGTGGGCACTCGCGGAAAGGTAGATTTAGGCGAGTGGCTAAGATTCTAACACATTTCTTTTTAGTATACAGAGGAGCAACAACGCAGGGCTTTTTCCAAATTCAGCCTGACTATGCACGATGTTGCAGTACCTCTAACACAAACAAACGCTATTGAGAGACGCTAAGTAGACCTCGAAGCCTTCTATTAATTATTCGTTATTTATGAATAGGCAAGCTTATTCTATGTTCAATGTCAAATCGAATAAGGCTCCTCAGCTCAGCCCATCCAACCCAGCCCCATGCGCCACACACCTCGCATCCTCCCGACAACTGTTCTCCAGCTTTACTCCATACCCTCCTCTAAACCCTTATCCTCTCCTTCCTGACCTTCGGGTTAGGCTGAATCCTATCGATCTTTATCCGCAATCAGTTCCACCCGCTCGCGTCATACTTCCGGCAGACGGTATCGACGAAGGCTTTGATGATGCATAGAGGAGATTTTGCGGACTTGTGCAGTGAGTATGGTAGTTTAAGTGGTTAGTTGGGAAGATAGGCGTTTGAGCAGTGCATTTTTGTGCAGGATGGCTTCAAAAGTAATTGTCTTGTAATGTTGTTATACATATCTGGTCCATCCCATATCCTACATCCCCAATCAATCCCATCCAATCCAGCTAAGAGTGGGTTGTTGTCTATGCCGTAAATCTACATCTATATACATACATAACCACGTGAGGTGTGGCTTTGATATCCTGCCTCTTTTACAGACACAACTGCTATCCCGATTCATCCACGTTTCATATTCACCTGATATATTGAAATTAAGAAACGCCAATCCATTCCATGCCCAAACCCAGTCACCCAGACTCCCAAAATGCTCCTCCTTCTGCCCCTGCTTCAACATAGTAACCCCCGCCTCAAACACCCCCTTCTCATTCCCCTTCTACCCCCAACCAATCCCTCTTAGTTGTATACATCCTCTCTACCACCGTTCAGGAGAAGAAATACTTGCTCTCCTTAAGCCTCTTGACATCGAAATTGCCCTTCTTAGGTACAGGCGGGAACGTCAGTGGAAGCCAGACTTGAATCTTAGAGAGTTGACGGAGTTTCGCCTTCGCCGGTGGCTGTTGTGGTTGCAATTGTTCGGCGGATGTGTCGTTCTGGGTTTGTCCCTGTGGATGTGCTGAGAGTTTGCGGGAGCTTTTGTGGGCTTCGGGACAGGTTGTGAGGTCTTCTACTGCAGCATCGTCTTTGAACAGCTCGTGCTCGGCATTCGTGGTAGATTCAGCAAGGCTGGTGGACTTCATCTCCACCTCGGCTCCAAGCACCTCTTTCTTCACCCCCTCCAGCTTCTTCCCACCCGCCTCTTTATCCTTCCACTCTTCCCAGATACTCGTCGGCGTAACCATCTCGGCCCCTTCCCTTCTCTTCCCCTCATCCTCACTTCCCAACAACTCCCTCCTCCTCGCCTCCAACGCCACCTCCTCCACTTTCGCCGTCCCGGATCTGCCCTCCTTCACCCTCCCTATACCCGCTCTTTGCAGCGCCCGCCATTTCGTAATCGCCTTCCCTGCTGGGCTCAAAGACGAGATTTCCGCACGGTAGTACGAGCCTGCATATCTCGCCTTGAATTCAGCCGCAAGCCGCGAGACGATGTCTTCAGAATGCATACGCACGAAGGCGTCGCGGAGAATGGTATTGAGGTTCGGGATATCCGCCGCATGGGTCCAGAAGGAGTCATGTACGGCGGCGAAATCGAGGCCCATTTCGTTACATTTGAGCGCACTCAAGATCATGTGGGTGGCATCCAGGGAATGTATGAAATTCGGAGGAAAAGCTTGCAGTTGTTTTCTCTTACTGACGCTACTGGACGGCGAGGATTTCTGGAGCGAGATATTCTGCAGACTCGTTTTCACCTGCACGAGTTTTTCTTTTCGATACGGCTGCACAACAGGCATTTTCAGTGGGGTCGTCCAGATAACGGATGATTTGAATTCCGACATATCCTTCACTAATTTCTTTTGCGCTGCCTCGGTCAACTTTTTCGCGTACTTATATTTCGGATCGAAGCCTTGGCTCTTGCCTTCGAAGCGGTCTTGGATCCGACGGACCTGTTCCGCAGTAATGGAAGTCGTGATACGATCTGCGCACTTCCCAAGCCAAAACTGTATCTCCTGCGCGCCGTTGAAGATCTTTCCCAGCGCTTGGAAAATCTTCTTTGCAACATACATCGACACATGATTAAGGCTAGGGACGCCCGGGGTTTCTTCGAAAACGGGGATGAGTTGTCGGAGCTCGTCGTGCACTTGCGCTTTCGCGCCGATGAAGGTTACGCCGTAGACGTTGGTCATGACGGTGCGTTTTACGACTTTTCGGGAGACTTTGCCGTCGATAAATTTGGCGATGGGGTTTCCGGCTGCGGCGTCCTCGGCGACGATTTCTTTCACGAGTTCCGCGACACCGGTGTAGATGTCTTGGGGGCGGTCGGAGGGTTCGAGATTGACTTGGCTTGCGCCGGCTTGGTCACCGCCAAGAGCGGCGTAGTGCTGGAGTCCGTTACAGGTTCCATCTTGGTGGACTGGGAGATGAGAGATGAACCGCGTGGGGTCGGGAGAGTCCAAGGCATTCTTTAGTTCGATGCAGCAAGCCAAACATTGCCAGGGGTCTTCAGCTTTTGCCCACCACCGTCGTCCGTTAAGTGGATTGGTAGCGGAATCGTAGACCTCGTTGAGGTTGTTCATGGCAAATTGCTCTCTATCCTTCAAACTGGCCTTGTCATAACCGTAAAGATTTGCAAGATGGACCTTCAACCACTGAAGCCCTACAGTGCCGAGTTCCTTGCCGTTCGCAAACCTCAGCAGACCTCTTGGAAGGTCCGACCCAATATGATTGAGAAGCGGAGGGATTGGGTACGCTCTGCCGCGGAAATCGATACTATGTGGGAAGAAGAACCGCTCGTTTAGATACGCCTTTGCGACCTCCAATTGAAAGTTTTGGAAGCATCGTTGCGAATGAAAACCGGCCTTTTCGTTTTCATATTCCTTCAACTTGTTTACCCACTTCATGCGCTGGTCAAAAGGAGCATCAGCGCTCGGTTCCTGCGGCGGCGTAATCTTCAAAACCTCTGGTACGAGGCCGCCGACATCTTCGCCGGCATTCCAAGCGTGAACCATGACGCGGAAAACATCGGCATTGATGTTCCAAGGGACTTTTCCGAGCGTGTCCAAGCCGGCTAGCACTTTCTTCATATCCCCGTTCTCGATCGCGGAAACAGTGTAGGCCATTTGCATTTCGTCCTTGGCTTTGATTCGCACGCATTTTTCGTTAAGGGTGTAGTAACCGCCGTCTTCGAATCCCACCCAATGTTTTGGCTCTACCAACATGGGCAATTTGACCGTTGAGATGTTGTGAACAGATTCTTTCCTCAGCTTTTCCATAACCTTATGATGTGGCACTATCCAAGCACACTTCTTACCGTTTTGGAAGCCTGTAGTGTGCGAGAATGCTGGTTGTGTTCTCGTCAACTGCTTGCCTGTCTTGGGATCTTCGCAGGAGACCGTGATCATGGCGGACTGTACGAACTTCTGGATAACCATTGCGCCAATTTTTGTCCTCACGTGAAGGGGGAAATCCTTGTGTTGAATAGTGTCGAGGGATGGTCTAGAACTTTCTCCGATGGCATTGAGATTCACCTTGTTTTTGCTTAGCTTGGTAAGGAGTTCCTGACGAATTTGAGTGCGCTGCTTGCGCATAACCAATTTCTGCCTTTGTTTTATCCCTGTGTTGATATCGTCTTCAATGTCACCTCCAATGTTAAGCGCTAGACTCGCAATCCTGAGGTTGTTGGTATCCTCCCGTCCCATTTGGACGCAAGACGTAATAGTCCTTTGAACGGTCACAGCAGCCATCTTTTCCACAGAACAGCCTTCGAGGTATGCGCCATATATTTGTCGGTCGTCGAGTTGGTTCGCCTTGGATGGGTTCGATAAGACCTCTTTTATCACCTTCATCTCTTTTTGAAGGAGCGGCAAGAGCGCGGAGTACCAATGCCACATCAATGCTTGCACGGGCTTTGATTGCAGAACGCCGTGTATCCCCATCTCTGCCAGCTTCGCGTCTTCGGCTTTCCAGCGCTCAGTCGCAGCCAAGCTGGAGTCTTCTTCAAGTTTTATCTGCTTCATATACGCGTAGGCTCTGTCTTTCTCTTCTTGCGACCCTTCCATTTCATGGGGATAAGGGATGCCTTTCCCCGGCTCGAACATAGCCAATGCGCTCTTCAGGCTTGATAGACCTAGCCCCTTCTGCTCCACCGGCTTCACTTGTAATGAATCGTCCCGAATTAAACCGTGCTGAATAGCGATAGCACGGCCTGCGGGAGTGCTGATCTGAATATCTTGCAGCTCTTCAACTGGGGGGGGTTCGTCGTAAACCTCGGGCTGGAATCTGATCAAAGTATCCCACTCCTCGTCCGAGAACTCCGGAGACGAATTGACGCCCTCAAACACGGCGGGCCCACACTCCCGTGCCGAGTCTAGATACTTGAGTATCGAGCTCTCCCTTTTGCCACCTTCCAAGAAATTCATTGACGCCCGGAGAATTGTGACGAAAGTCTGCGCATCCGGCTCAACGCCCTTGCCCATCATCTCGGTATTGTACCATGCCTCAATATCCGCCATGGCTGTCTTTGATGGATTCTGCTCTGCGAGCTCGAAAAGTGCCCGCAGATACACATTGTGGGCGCCCACCACCTCTGGCGCAGAGGGGCTATACATATCTGTCAACCGCTGTACAATCGCCGTCGCCCGGTCTATGCGTCCAACTCGTATGCAAGCATGGAGGTTTTGATGAAGCTCCGCGGGATCACCACCAATGCCCATCCGCACTCTAAGCTGCGGTGCCGCCGCAACCGAGCCATTTATGATGAGCGGCCTCGAAGGATCCCACGGCTGCAACCTCGATGTTTCGGGCGAGGGTGGGCGACTCCCCCACTGCGGTACTATGCCATGGAAGGGAATCGCATCGTACGGAGACGGCTGGAGGTCTGCGGCGGTTGCAAGCGATCTCGTCTCCTGTCGTGACGATAATGCAGTTGATAGTCTCTGTTTCCGAGAGTCATGGGAATGATTCGCAGTAACGGACACCACACTCGCCGCCCATCGCATCTGAGCGGGACATAGCCATGGCAGCGTCAATTGTTCGCGTATGCGTATTCGACCCGGGTTCGTGAGGGCGTCTCGTCGGAGCTTCCGTCGTGCCGCTGCTGCTCGCGCGAGCATTTCAATGGGGTATTAAAATATTAATAAGCGAAGGGAAAATGCGGCAACGACATGCAAAAAGAAGGAAGAAGCCCGGAAGCACAGGCTGGGAAACGAGGACAGAAACACAGGCGCGAGTGAGAAGCCGTGGGGATGGAGGAAGTTGGGAATGGTAAAAATTATCGCTGCTAGAATGAGGCGTCTTATTCGGTCGGCCCGAGCTTCAGTCACGTGGTGTTGAAAAGTCCCGTGACCTCGAGTCATGTTGCGCTCTCGCGTTGACGTCGACCGTAGCAATACTAAGTGAATTCACAGCACGAACAATTTTGATTTAGATGTAAGTTGAAACAGTTTCTCATAGAGAACTGGCTGGTGATGCCATTAGCAGACGTTCGTGGAGCATTCTGGCTCTTCTTTCCCGTCTTGGAACACGCTCCTAAAATGAAGATAATATGCCTGAACACCATACGCCACCATCCAGCTCTACCCATCCCGCAATGCAGGGAAATCCTTCTATACGCGTAATTTCAAGCAAGCCCAAGACGCTTTAAACCTCATCACTCTTTCGGCACAGCCGGAGCCGTCACCATAGTCTTAGCATCAATTCCCTTCGATGTAGACGTGGGCGTAGACGAGAGCACTTCACTCATAACCCTACCCTCTTCCTTCTCCAACTTTTTCTTCTCCGCTGCCAAACCAAACGGATCCCAGCCCGCCTCATCAACCTGATCTTTAGCATCATCCTCCCAATCATCCTCATCCTCGTCGCCAAAGCAGAACAAGTCTTTCGCGCTTCCCCTCTCTGCCTTCCGGTGCTTGCCTGCTGGGATCGTACATCCTCCGACGGTTTCTCGGAATTTGTTCGCGTAGGCGAGAGCCATGCTTGATGAATTGTCAGGATTAATTAGTTCACCATCGTAGAGTAGGTACGGGAGATGAGGGATCTCTGGAAGATCGCCATCGAATGGGAGTGCAAGATGTAGCGGCCGAGAGTGTGGGATGACAGGGGCTTCCGTATTGTATGGGGGAGGCGGCGGTTTCTCTGCCGTGAGGAACGGCTCGTCCGGGAGGTTCGGTGGTGATTCCGACCCCTGATCCGATTCCGTCGGCGAGGGAGGGGTAAACTCTTCAGGGGGATGATATAGCTCGCTGTGCACGGTAGCGATGGACTCCGAGGCGATTGTTGCAGGATAATAAAGTGAGTAGCCGCGAGACCGCATGAATTCCAGCATGTATTCAGTCCACGCAGGAAGGGTTTCTGAGACCAGCTTTGGCCTCGCTGCTGTCTTAGGCGCTTGATGCTGCATCGCAACACGGTTGCTAAGAAAAGAGTGTAACTCCGCCCATTTGTCGGCGAAGAAAAGTGCTGCATGGCTATTCGGGGCTTGCCAGAGGAATGGCACGCTTGGGGCATTAGGAAACTGCTGTGTATATCTCGCAGTGTTCATATCGCTAGGCCTCGGAGGCTTTAATGCTGTCTTTCCATCTAAGCGTGTGGCGGGTAGCTCAAGGCTAATACCCATCATGTTTTCGCTATCCATTTCGCCATACGAAGAGTACTTGTACTCGAGGAGAGTGTATTTTAGATAATGGTAGTATAAAGGTGACAGTTCTGCTTGGGGTGAGAGCAGTAAAACGTGCGAATTAGTGGTGCTTGTGGGATAAAATAATTCCAGGAATCTGGTAGAGCTGTCTTCCTGCGTTGCCCTCTGGGTAGTGATCCGACGTCGGAGGGTCATTTGACTTGTTGCAAGAGGATTATCGGCACTCACAGGAGGCCAAACGAAGTTCTCTAAATACTGCTTCATGGGGCCATCAACATCGGCGGGGAGCTCAATGGTTAGGCGGGGCGGCTTCAGGCCGTGATAGTCGGCCCTCACGATGGACTTGAGCAGCTGCATGACACCACCCGAAGACCCATACGGCGCTTGAATCAGGATATCCACGGTAGGGTAGTGCCAGCTTTTCAGCGACCCAGCGTCTAGCCTCGTGATCCACATAAAGTTTTCTAGTCGGTCTTTCGGCACTTCAATAATAGGAATATTGAAGAGCTTGGACTTCGATCGCATTGCCCTGACAAAGAAGGCATCCTCCGAGAGCGAATCGTCGATGATTATGGCCTGTGGATGGAGGAGGTTGTGAATATGCGACATGGCTCCTGCGACACTTCCTTCAGCTCGTGCTTCTGAGCTGTATTCGGTGAAGTCTGGTCGTGCGTCATGCCAGATTGCGGGACACTTTTCTTTATCGATCCCGTTGATTGCAAGCAAACTGTCTAACGGTATGTCCTCGCGACCCATGATAGCAGCGTGGACCCAGTTCCTACCCCATTTCGACATTTCGCAGATCATGGGAAGAAGAACAGTGGCGCTTTTGAGGTTTGAAATGGCGAACAGCACATTCCGATTCGTGGCGCGGTATCCTTGGGTATGTGATGAAGCGTGAAGCGACTCTGCGAGCCTGTAGAAGCGGACCTGTCCATTGTAGGAATGCGGCGGCGGACTGCCGTCCTTAGGAAGCCTCGTGCCAGGAGGTGGGCCTTTTGGTTCCACGTCGTCTGCTGGGTTGTCTCCCGCATTGGTTACGGGCGCATACTGCCCTCCAAACGGTCTGTTCCGCCCATGAAACTCCCCCAGATCCGGTATGTTGTGGATGAACAGATAAACCAGGTACAGGCCTACCACGGCTAATACTATCCGCCGCCGCCGGAACCTCAGTGGCGTCTTCAAGAAAGCCCAGGAGAATCTCCTTCCCGGTGCTCCAGGCCTGTGGTCGTCATCCTTCTTCCCCAGCTCTTCATCGCCTGGAAGTATGGTCCTGCCGAGCATGCTGGCCCGCGTCACGCCCTCCTGCAACCACCCGCGGTTTCTAGATCGACCGCCAGCGAGCATGCGCCCTCTTTACACCATCGCGTTATGAGAAGATAAGGTATGGGCTCGTGGTCGACATGCGATTCCAATGGTGAGGCTCTTCGGAACTGACAGCGAGGCAAAGCGTGCGCCGGTGCACGATCGTTCTTGGCAACGGATTGTATCAATTAATCAGGTGTGGTGGTAGACAGGTGAAGTGAACGCGTGTCTTCTAAGGACATCTCACAGCAAGGTTTAAAAGCACGTTCAAGCAGACAAACTGGTGATCTCAAGCAAGGCTAATTTGGCGTTCATCGGTCGACCCTTGCGCAACGGCCAAGCCATGTATCCTCTAACCAAACGGAGGAGACCCGGCCCTCGTTTCAAATTGCCCGCTAGATGAACACCCTCCCTCTCACCCCTCTTCATCAAAACCCTCTCCCATACCCCACCATTTCATCTAAAATGCGGCTTCGCTGGCTTCATCCAATGCCCTTGTCGCTCCAATTAGTCTTCTCCTCGTCCTGTCTTATCCAGGTTTCACTTCAAGAACATCCCCCCAGTGAGCTCTTTTTGTCCGCAGCGCGAAGTGCCTCCCTCAAGGCTTTCTCATTCCGCGGCTTGAATATGACCTTGTAGTGCTTGCACATAGTGACAAGGCTCGTTGGATCAGCACTTCCGAGAACGGGATGAGTCTCCACTTGGGAGTCCTGCTGGATCTCGAAGCTATTCAGCATCCGCAAAAAAGTCAGGTATAATTCTCGGTTTGCAAGCAGCGACCCAGCACACATCCGGTATCCGAGACCATATGTGAACAGTGGCGCATCCGGTTGCTCGATCCAGCGTTCTGGCCGGAACGCCTCTGGATCTGCCCACACTTTCGGGTCTGTGTCTAAGGTTAGCCCAAGGTTGCCGCAGACTATTTGTGATCGACATACCCATGTTGCATGCCCACGCGTTGAGGTAAATGGTGCTTCCAGCCGGTATCAGCTTCCCTTCGTATATAATGTCCTTCACTGTCGCCCGAGGAAGAGCCAGCCGAAGGACGCAGTAATATCTTAGACATTCGCGCACTAGCGCTGCAATGTACCCGCATTTCTGGTCATCTTGTGCGTCACACAGTGGCTCCCCGTCTGTGTAATACTCCCGGATAGCCTCGATCGCTTTCTTTTGAATGTCTGGACGTTGGGCGAAAAGTGCCACGCTCCATTGAACTAAGGTAGTGATTGTATCCAAGCCACCTGATAGCATGGTCAAGCTGATAGACGTCAACTCCTCCTTGTTTAACGCGGCTTCCTTGTCCAAAATGACGTTGGCCTGAATACACGGTTTGTGAATTCCTTTCTCCATTCGGTCATCCAAGTCACTGTTCAAACGCTTTAAATATACATCTCTTCGATCCCGCATCTCTCGCGCTCTCTTAGACCCGAAACTGAAGGGATTCATTCGTAGTATGGGGATGTAGTCTTGGAGATTGCCAGTCGTGCTTCGAAACTTACTTATAATCTCTTCTACCTCCGTGATCTCTTCAAACATAGGATCGTTGCGGCTGCCCATGCGCGTGCCCCAGTTCAATGTTAGAGAGAGACTCAGACTGAGGCGTTGAATCATGGGCATCGGATCCACACCGACTTTGCCGGCTTGTCCATTCTCGAATCCTTCTTTGACGAAGTCCTTCGTCTCGACATCTAGGTGGTCTATGTATGTGGCGATGGATGGTTTGTTGAGAGCAGAAGCTGCTCCTTTCCGTCGGCGTTTTAAGGAATCGTTGAAAGGAGACGTTCCGATCGTTGTTCCGGCCGTGTTGGAGAGGACCTAAGCAGATATTAGACCCCCAACTCTACCACATCCAATTCTCAGCCGTACTTTGTGAAAGGTCCAGAACACTGGCCTGGAGCTGAGCGCCTGGCTATGCTGTCCAAAGATTTTCCTCGCTGCCTCGGCACTATTGACTACAATCACAGGCACATTTCCCAACTGTATCTGATACACATCGCCGTGTATCTTGGACCATTGCCGGTACTTCTCCGCTGCGTTGAACTTGATATCTGGGATGTTTCCGACAAGCGGCCAATTCGTAGGACCCGAGAAACCCTTCACTCTCGCCGCACGGCGTACGAATTCGTTGACGATAATGTAGCTAAGAGGGATACCTAAGAAAAGGACTAGAAGACTTCGAAAGGGATGGTCCTCTAGCTCTATCGATAGGATTGGTAGGATCGTGGAAATCATCGTGATTATCAGAATAATGTGTGAGTGAGGGAAAAAAGAAGGCCCAATAAGCTTTCCAAGGAGGGCGGGGTGCAGGTGAGTAGGTCGTCGTCGTATTTTGTATTCACAGCCGTCCGCAAACTAGCCAAGCTAGATCCCCCATCCGTGCTTCTTATTCTTGAAGCCAGAGCTTCTCTTCCCCGTTGGTTCACTGGTTCCTCCAGGGAAATGTCGGCACTTGGTCCCCGCAGCGGTGATCGCAAGGGCGGAATGTGCGGAAGGGTTCCGTGCCGCGGAATGTCTGTCGGCCCCGTGGGGGAAGGTTGAGCTCAACAGAAGAATGAGGGTGCGGCAATAGTTGACATGCAATGATGGTCTGAGAAGCCTGTTCTAATCTGACATTTTAGCGGAAGCAAACCTCAATCAAAGTTGTGTCCTGTGTCACGTTGTTTGTTAGCTCCAAGATTTGCTTTTTGATGTCGCCTCCTAGACGCTGACCACACATCTGGCAAGGCTCATCCTTGACTACCTACTCGCGGTAGGTACATTGCGGCTTTCGCGAGGTCAATACCAACTGCTTCATTGATCACAATCATACCATGACAGATTCACTCTCTTGCTCCTATCTTTCTTCTTTACCAACATACTCCATATTACTCCTCCTTTCGATATCTTTGTGACGTCAGATTTATGACCAATCGCGTGAAGGTTAGAACTTCACAATGGCAAACCGTGAAACTCGATCTAAGATTGCATTGAAAGGAAATTTTCGGCTTTGAACGAACATTCACCTTCTTAGCAACAACGCCAATTTCTTCAAATATTCGGGATGTCCCCCAATTCCTGTAAACCTGGCCCGGGATGCCTATAAACCTCCTCCGGGTGTTGGAAGCAGATCGTTTGGGTCATTCTTTGACAGTTCTGGTGGATCACGTGTCGTTCTGGTTGCCGATGCTAGGTTAGTATCTGTTCCAGTTGCCTCTATTCTAGGAAGTCTTAGCCCAGCTCTGCGATAATTGGGAGCCTAAATGGTTCTTTCTAGCCATGGACATCGGGATCCTGTCGAGTTTGTGCGGTCATCACAAGGCGCCCGGTCGAATACTTCGACTTTTCTATCGAAGCCATTGAAGGCGACTAGCGCAGCTGTCGTGCCATCCACAATTTTGCCCACCAACATCCAAGCACTCAAAAAAAAATATTTTTAAAAAAAAATTGTGCCAGCCTTCAAGCACTTCCCTGAATGGGTGTGCCGAAATGAGGAAGTTCAGAGCTTCATCGACAACCCCTGAGCTCATAACAACGAGATACCACTAGAGAAGCGAGCGCATCCCTACGGACCAGATCTCTATAGCATAGGCACGTCTATGTAAGCCGTCATCCAATACCTCGACCAAGTGGGCCTGAAACCTGCGAAAGAAGCTTGATGTCGCTATGGATATTTGCAGCCTTGGGTTGACGGTCCTGCAAAATACGGCCTCACCACCCTGCATAAAGGATATGGTCCTTTCGAAGCCAGCATCATTAAAATGCTCCAAGTTTTCTTCGCCAACCACACCCACTTTGCTATGCAATCTTCCAACAGCGGAAACCCCTTTGACGCCGGAATGATCCCCCGACTGGTCACGGACGCCAAACAGTACTACCGCTCTATCTACTGGGTTGACGCTGCGTCCTGGAACTTGCACGATACGCATATTTTCAACATGCTTTCCCGAATGGTCAAGGTGAAGCTAGGTGCGAAAGTCGTTGGGTAGGCGCATAATTCACATGTAGGCGATGTCAGGGTCACGAGCATGGGCACTGAGCGTGGGGAAATCAACCCAGTTCTGCTGTGTCGCTAGAATAGCGCTAATCTGGGAGATGTTGCTATTGTCGGTATGGGCACACATGACGGCGAAGCTGCGACCGCGGATGCGCGGGATGAAGCTATGTAGTTCATCTCTACCAATCCCTCACGGAAGGGCTCGTGGAAAACAGGCTATGCACAACATGGATATCCCATATTTCCTCCTTAATTTGCGGAAAGATTACCTCAGCGCTGGTGTTTAGAGGGTGTTGGATAAGGAGAAGCCGCAACAGTTCATTGGCGCCACTTGTTACCCCAGGATGAAGAAATGGAGTCATTATCGGAGGGTAAGGCTGGTGAGTGAGCTCAATGCGTGGGTTTGATTTGATAGGGCGAGTGTCATGATGGCTTTCGAGGCTGCGCAGCCGAAGGAGGAGATTGTGACAGGGGAGATATATCCTTTTAGTTTATAGTTGGGTGCACATGCTCTAGACATGCATCGCTTTTGGCAATCTGTTTCCTATCTCATTCTGTATGCCTGTAGTCGTTCGCTTCCCAGAGCTTTTGCCTTTGGTGGTCAGCATTCATATTCCTTACAGGCGATAGATTGGTAGATTGCCTCTGCTCTAATTTTTCTCGTTGATTTGTCTTGACACATCTTAGTAGCCTGCTTCTAATTTGGCCATAATAGCTTCTAGACTGCAGTTGATAGCATTTCAAATCCTAATCGCTGATTAAATTTACAAGAACTCGGAATCCGGCTATCGAATGTTCTCAATAAAGTTCCCTCTTGACGCCTGGGTCTCGAGGGGGAACAAACTGCAGGTTTGACCGCATGACGTCAAAGCGAAATAATTCTCTCACAACGTGTTATTTCACAATCTGCGTTCGAGAGAATCCCACAAACACTAGTTCCAGGTGAGAGCACCTCATACGTCTCTTCCCTCGAGCTGTGACACTATCCTCCTATCTTCTAGCGCCATCTATCCCTCTGTCTGTCCCTCGCCACCCCCCTCCTTATCGCAAGTATTCCGCTCCCGTGGCCATCCATCGCCCCTAACCTCGTTATTCACGACGAGATTGACCTTGTCGTTCTACTCACTGCTGGACCCATTATATTCTTACCTCCGCCAATCCTCACTTCGCTGGGACTCCACTCGTGCCCATTCATTATAGGTGTCACGCCATGTCTCACTCGTAATGCCATAGTAAATCTAATTTCACATGCCTCAGATTGACTACACTCAATGGCGGTGTCATGAATCTGGTTCTCCAGTGGAGGACTTATGTCCATTCGTTGGACATGCCATATCGAGATCCGGGTACTGCGTTTACTGGGTGGTGAGTAGGAAGAGGTCTTCTGTGTGACAATGAGCTGCTTAGTGTCATGAAGGAGCTCTGATGAGTAGAGAATGCGTCAGGGATGAGGACTGATGATCGCTTGGTGGGTCAGGAGGCTTAGGAAGGTATTAATAGAGGTCTGGAACCGACTTGATAGTTTCAGGCCGAGCACTCCTGCTGGCGCTAGGGAATATCATGTGCGTGCACATGGAGACCCTGATAAGGCACGTACTCTGGGTCAGGGAAAACTGCACACACCAAGCATAAGGCCTAACATCACCTCAAGCTATCTTCGACACATGATTCCCAGGCCTACGGACCGTCTCCCGGACACCTCCACCTTAGATCATCACTGTCTTAGACTGCCTATAATTCTCGTCAATGAACGTTAACTTCAACCTAGATAAGATGGACTTAGGGGTCAAGGTATAGAAAGACCGGTTGGCGAGGAAGATGTCCTGAGTGGCGACTGAGAAACCTATCCTCAATCCCAGCAAACTCACCTCGCTCTGCAACGGCCAGACACCTTTCCCAACACTGATAGCGCTACGAGAACAAGTTCACTGCACTATGGGAATAAGAAACATTTAGTCGTGGGTTTGCTAGTACGGCGATTAATAGCGCTGAGGTTATTGATGCTGAGATTAACTGTAACTCTCCATTGCTTCAGTCTCAGGCACGTCTCTAAGCCCAATAATCTCGCGAGCTTCTATTGGTTGCTGCTAGCGAACAGAGATTCTTGAGCTGGGTTCCTATCAGCATGATGTAAGTTGACAACGAGACCCATGACGCTGATAATCACTGTAGCACCCCGTTTCTCACTCTGCGACACGTTTCTCACTCTGCGACACGTTTCCAAAGCCGGTAGTCCCACGAAACCCTTTTGGCAGCCCCTAGAGAATAGGAAGTCCTAAGTCTCGCAAAGGCAGAAAGGAGGTTGAGGATAGTGTAAGGTTCGAGGAAGCCAAAAGAGCTCCGACGTGACTATATAGTGTACGAAACAGCAGGTACTCCGAATGAATGAATAGTGCAGAGAGGGGGTACGGCATCCAGCGCTTCCAACCGTACGTAATACAATTCGACTCAACCAAATCCGGGACGTTACGTCTAACTTTCTTAGTACGTTTCTACTATATAATTAACATGAGGACCACTTACAAGTCTTAACTGTAACAATTAAGAATCCTTGTACAGCTTAACAACTTAGCAGAAGTTACAACGTAACGCTAGAACAAATATAATCT